AGGATTACCCTCAATCAAAGGATTACTTAATAAGATCTTTAGGACATGATATTCAATTATGGGCATGTGCATTTACTAATAAGTATTTTACTATGGGTGTGCAATCAATGTCACATAATGAGAGCGAAAACTTGACATTAAAACATCTTTTTGGAAGTTCGAATATTTTATTGTGTGAGTTGTTTGATGCTTTAGAGGAAAGGTATCAAGAAGAGAACAATTATTGTGAGTTTGTGAGCTGGAGGCAAACAATACCACAAGTAGGGCCAAAAACACTGCAAAATCTATTTTTGAACCAGTTATGCAACAATTAAATGAATTTGTATTGCCAAATATAATAAAGAAACAGAAAGAGCAAATGAACCTAAGTTTATATTATCATGCAGTGAAAATTGATTTAGAAGCTTCAATTTCTAAAGAGAAGGTAAGATTTCTATTAGTGCCATGAAGTATTATTAAATAGTAGAGTAGGATGTAACAAGAGAGCATTTAAAATCAGGTGCAGTTGTACATTATACTCTTATACATTTTACTTATTAATTAAAGTTAGGATAAGGGGTTAGGATTAGACTAGTAACCTTTCAGTTTTAATTAATATTTAAAAGATAGACTTAGATATTAATTCTTATTTTAGTATCTTTTATTTTATTTTTATTTTTTTACATTGAGCCTGTCTGTATTTCTAATACTTATAATTTGAAAAATAGTATAACTTTACCCAATTCAAATGATTTCAGTATTGAAACTTTTTTTATAGCTTGATAACAATAATGATAACACAAGATCATCTTCAGTGATTTCTTTTAAATCGGTATTTTTAGGAAGTTGATGAGTCAGATCAATTTATCGATAACTTATTCGATTGCTCACAAGTAAAACTAAGCTTATTTATAAATAACTCTTTCTCAATTCTTGAAGTCTGGAAAGTTTTATATTTAATGAGTTCTAGCTCCTCTCATTTCATATATCTTTTGAATGATAGCACCTTTCTATGTACGTGTATGATAGTCAGGTCTCATGGTTATCCATGTCGGCATTTTTATCATGTAATGACTCTCACCCTCACTGCAAGATTTCATATTGGTTTGGTGAATCAGTATTGGTATAAAGACACATTACAAAGGGCTGATGTATCTAATAATGAGTTTGTGACAGTTGCTTTAGAAGCGTTAACATCAACTTCCAGACCTCATTCTTTGCCAAGACAATTTTTACAATTAAATCGAAACGAATCTTATAATCAGGTTAAAGAATTTGTGAATAATGCTTTAAGACAGCCTCAAGATGACATAACCAAAGCTATTTCAAAAAATCATAAATTTGGTGAACTCTGAGGATTAGGAAGAAAAATAATAGTTTATACTATTGAAAATGAAAACAAAGAAATTTATAATAAACTTTTTGAAATTTTTTCATCTATTCAGAATAGATTGCCACGGAGAATTATTAATAGCAATGATGATGTTAGTAATAATATTAATGATACTTATGATGATAATATAAATATTCGAAATCCTATTAAGTGAAGACCAAAAGGTTATCCTAAATTAACGAGAATTATGAGTTCATTAAAACAGTCTAGTACAAAAACTCAGTATAGGTGTAAAGTGTATAATCAAAAAGGTCATAATAGCAAAACGTGTAAAGAAAAAAATTCAAACAATGTTGAAATAGAGAAGTAAGTAATATAATTTACATGCATTGATATAAATTTAACATATTACTCCTAACTAATATTACTATCGTTAAGCCAACAATAATAGTAAAAAATAGAGGCGTTTGTTAGTTGTAGAGTCTAGAATACATTTAATCTAAATTAGAAAAAGATATCTATCTTAAACATGACTAAATTTTAATTCACAAAATCAATTTGGCACTGCATATATAAAGGATGTCAGAAGAGGCAGATTCAAGTACCTAAATTAGTATCTATATAAAGCTAATTAAGATAGATCATTTATTTGTATTGTTTTATAGCCTTTTTTTTTTTTTTTACTGTCTCGTTAGTTTATTTTGAAAAAAAGTTCAATTTACTAAACTTCACTATAGAGCTGAAAATCATTTATTGTTCATTCAAAATAGAATTTAAATTCTTAAAGTTTATTATTAGTTAGCTTTTTAACTTTACAGACTGTAATTTTTTTTGCATTAGTTTCAGGTGAGCATAAAAAGTCTATTTGATACTTTGTTTCCGTTAGTCTATTTGAAACAGCAATACAAATTTTAAATAATGATTCCAAAATCAATCTTTTGAATTAAATTTTATGAGAAAATTATTTTTAATAGAGATTATATCTGGATGACCTGTTTTATGTTAAATAAAATCATAAACAGGTCATTCGGATTCAATTTCTTATCTAATGTAACAATTTAAAATCAATGAAATTTATAATTAATCAGTACTTTCTAATTATGCACTTAAAAACAACAGTCCAAGTTTGTAAGGAACTTTATCATGCTGATTTTGGTGAGCATGAAGGATATTAATATATTAAAACTGTAATTAAATTTATAAAGATTTATTATTAACTAATATCTCTCTTTCACTAGTCTATTTAAATATGACAACACGAATTCAGAAGCAATTAATATTGCTCAGGTCATCTTGTCGCGTTGGTTTAGATAAGAATAAAGATAATTTATTAGTCTATTTGAATATCATCGCAAGATATATTATTAATCAAATTCCATTCTTTAGTACATTTGAAAAAATCCCCTCCTCAATTCAAATATTCAATTTATAATTAGTCAACTAAATTTTTTTCGAGTTCATATTTATGTGAAAGATTATTTTATCTTTAAGGATTCATCATTAATAAATATCCTTAATTATTTATTTATGCTGAATAGACTTGTTCATTAAATTTGAACTTCACAAGAATTTGCTGGTTACTAGTTTTTAATCAAATTATAAGATTTGTACTGTGAGATTCACTGTGCCACTATAAAAATTCAGTTCTATTTCTAAAATTTTATAGTTGATCCTTAAGTGCTAGATGCATCTAAAACATCTAGAACATAAGTGAATAATGTAAAGTGTATAATAATCAAATTTCAGATCAGAGTGCAAAACAAAATAGTATGTATTAAATTGGTTTGTTTTGTGATGTTATATAATTAAGAATGATGAATGTAATTTTACATCTAACTTTTTATTTTAAAATCTTTATAATTTTATTCTACTAGATTCCCCTTCTAAGTAGAGTGTCTATCCATAATCCGTTCATTCATTTATCTATTGAATATCCAGACAGTTTATAAATAGATGACAGATTTATCCAAATTGGAACTCTACTTCTAAGTGTTCCTTAAGGAACTTCGACTGGCTCTGGACTTTACTCGAGAATAATAACTATCACACTATGTCTTCATTAATTAGAGATCATTTGTTAATTCATTTATAATCTATTTTATTACTTTTATTCACGTTAATTTAATCGCAGA